TTGTTTCCAGGGAGTGGAGAGCTGCAGTCACATGGAAGGGCACTACCAGGACTACCAGGGCAATGGTGAAGGTGCCTTCTCAGTCAGGCAGTGAGTAGCCTTGTGTCTTAACTTAGTTTGTAAACTATTACAATTTAGCTTATACCCTGCTTTGATACTGATGCTCAATACTGAATCCAGTCTTCAAAAGCAGCAAAACTTCAGATGTCTTTCTCAGAGTTTTTCAACAGGGAATTCTGAGAGAGATCTTCAAGTAGCAAGCTCATTTGTCAGTCTAGCTGGAGAACTGATTTTCTGCATGCTTTAGCTCAAAATTTAACTGGACCATAAGTTACTGCAGCATATCAAACTTGCTCTAGGCAAAGGCAAGCACTGTGATGGCCACTTGTAGGGTGTTTTTTTTCCAAGAATGTATTTTTTACAAATGTCTGAAGCATGGAACCTCTGGCCACAGCGGCCAAATGCAAGCCTGCAAGAGACTAGAAAACAAGTAGTTCAAAGCACTTTTGCTGACCTAACCTGCTTCTTCATGGGGGCTACTGAATGTGGAAGACAATGCTTCCTGTGCTTCCCATTTTGCCTGCTGGTAGGTGACAGAGCCTCGGAGGGGGTGTCTTTTTAAGACACTCATAACTCCTCAGGGAAGCCCACACCGCAGTGCCCTCTGTCTCACCTCCTGTTGAAAAGCACAGGCTACAAATGCTCTCTTGCCAGGGCTGAAGAGTGCAACAACAGTAGGGGGCTTTACTAACAATCGCATCTGAATGAGCTGGCCGTAGTGTGACATTGCCTGACGTTACTGTGCTTAATGCAGTTTCACTAGTAGGGTGTACTGCTCAGTATTGTTCCTCTAGCCTTACTTTAGTAGCCTTGCCTTTGCATCTAGGACTTTGGACTCCATCTACCGTGACTTGAATTGTAGGTTATAAATAATGACTAAGAACTTACTGTGTTAGTAATATAAGTTTAAATGATACAGGATTTTACACAGAAAGCACTGACAATCTCCCAGTAACTTGCCATTAATTTAAATCAAGTCAGAGGCAAGCTGTTCATCATAGAAAAACTAATTCATTCAAAACAATGCATGCTGAAGAAAATAAATAATTTAAATACAACTGATCTGAAATAAGTATCCACCTTCTTACTGTTAGTATTTAAAAGACAGGATGACAGCAGAGTAAAGAAATGAAATTCCAGTAGTGATCTGTAGGATCTTGCAAGATAGGTACATCCACTGTACTTAGTGAAAATACTTTGTATTTTTTAGTTTCCTAAAATAAGGTGAAGATTGTACCATTGCTCTCCCTTGTACTAAATATTTAATCCATTGGCCAATAGCAATCAAAATTTACAGAGAGCAGAAGATGTTTAATGAGAACAGGTGGCTCAATATAAAAGCTGCTCTTTAACAATACCTTGACAGCCTTGGATACCTTGAATGAAAGGCTTATTCAGATTAAATGTCAGACAATCTACACAAGACATCAGACTAGGACAGAAATGCACAGACTTCATTAGTCTTTTTTCAGACTTCATTTCAGATTCATGCAATTCACTGCTGCAGGAACTGCTTAGTTTTTGAAGGTTGTCCAAACATGAATTTAAAATATTTGTTTGCTTAGTACTGACAGGATTCTGCAAGAAATGTGACATGCATGTGATTGGTGCCTAAGTATCAGTGTTATCCAGCTATTTGTATGTAGGGCTTCATCAGAGGAAGATGATAATGGGTTTTAGAAGGCCACTCACCTTTAAGAAAGCTGATAGTTAAAAAATGAAGAAATTTCAGGATTTGTATACAGTGAATTCCAAGACTGATGAAACATTAAATAGTAAGACAGAAAAAATATCATTTGTCTATGTCCACATAAGTGCTTTCCCCTTCTACTTTTAAAAGCAGTGATTTGCAGTCATAAAGTACCTTCAAAACATTTAGGAAGGACCTGAAATAACTAACTTTCTCTATCGTAGATCTTGGCTCAGATCTTTCATCCAAGGAAGAAAGGGAGGGGCCCAGGCCCAACCACACATGGTAACTTTGCTTGTTTCTTAACAACACTATCAAAACCAAATTAACAGGAAAACTGTGAGGCAGGCAGTTGTGGATCACAAGTATTGGGCACTTTCTGGGATCCTAAATCAGACATACCCAAAATGAGAACACAAAGAGTTTAATTTTGACATCCTAATCATGACTTACTTTGCACTTTCCTAGAGGAATCCTGCTCTGAGTGACACTGATTCAGGATATACGGCTGCCAGACATCACAACCAGAAAAAACAACAGAAAAAACACCCTCAGGTCAGAACAAGGTCCCCCTGCATTTATTCTTCTCCTCCCCAGCAATTCATGAAATCAAAGACAGTTGCTGTGCGATATATTCAAGTAAGTCTTACGGGTGAAGTCAGCTGAACCCTGGTGACAGAAGGGAGCAGGATGCTTTAAATGCTTCATTTATATATTTCAGTGAGTGTAACTGGTAGGATGATGATCTGCAGCTGGTGCTGTGAACATCAGTTTCCCTGAAGTAGGCTCTGACAAAGGTAAGCTTTCTGGCTTGCTTTTGTTCTTTTCTGAAGGAAATCACACCTTTTAACCAGGCTTCATTAATTCCTAATTCACCGTGAACAGAATTAGGGTAGTTTCTAATATTCTAAGATATTTAAGTAAAACTGACTATTAAAACGACTCTTTTGTAAAAATACCTTTCATAGGATTAAAAGGCGGCTTAATTGCTTTTCTTTCTTGGAAGGGTATCAATAAATTACAGAGATCAAAACATAAAAGCCTATTACAAGTTCTTCAAAATTAAAGCAAGGTGGACTTCACACTTGGAGGAAAGGTAGTAGATGATCTGTTATCCAAAGTGAAATAAGTCAGCAGGGATACATGTGTACTAAGAGCAGCACATAGTACAGCAGCAAGCGGTGAGGGATTGTGTAACAGGACAGGCAGGAAATGTGGGGTGGTCTTGGGGTGCATCTTGTGAGCTCACAGAACATGGGCAGCACCAGAGGCAGAGCTCAGGCACACCTTCCCAGGCATGTACAATCGCTGTCTTAAATTCCAAACAGCCAAAGTGTAGACCAAGCCATTATAACCAAACAAGCTGTGACAACCCATTTCATCACTCTGCGCATTAAAATGCATCACATTTGAAAAGTGCTGCAGATGGTATGTGTTGTTAATGTGCAGGTGACAGAACCAGCTGCAGAAGTGATGAATGCAGGAGTGAATACACTTCCAGAAATCAGTCTTGCACAGCTATGAAAACTGCTGCACATTTCATCTATGTTGAGAAGCTTTTGTTTTATTATGTATTCACCTGTCTTACTCTAACAGCATTCTAATTTTAGTCAAGTAGTCTTCAGAAACAGATTCAGGGCATTATCTCCAGCTGGAATTCAATTTTTAACTCAACAACAGTCAATACAGAGTTAGGCTTAATTCATTATTTTGAGCATTTGTCTTTCATTCTAGAATTAGACTAACGCTAGAAGAGTTTCCATCAAAAACAAAGAATAATTTGTTTTTAAACAAGATTTCTAATACAAAAAGCTGTGCTTTTTTTCGCTTTTTTTCCTTTTTTTTTTTTTCTTTTTTTTTTTTGAAAGTGAAACATCAGTCACATTTGAAAAGTGCTGCAGATGGTATGTGTTGTTAATGTGCAGGTGACAGAACCAGCTGCAGAAGTGATGAATGCAGGAGTGAATACACTTCCAGAAATCAGTCTTGCACAGCTATGAAAACTGCTGCACATTTCATCTATGTTGAGAAGCTTTTGTTTTATTATGTATTCACCTGTCTTACTCTAACAGCATTCTAATTTTAGTCAAGTAGTCTTCAGAAACAGATTCAGGGCATTATCTCCAGCTGGAATTCAATTTTTAACTCAACAACAGTCAATACAGAGTTAGGCTTAATTCATTATTTTGAGCATTTGTCTTTCATTCTAGAATTAGACTAACGCTAGAAGAGTTTCCATCAAAAACAAAGAATAATTTGTTTTTAAACAAGATTTCTAATACAAAAAGCTGTGCTTTTTTTCGCTTTTTTTCCTTTTTTTTTTTTCCTTTTTTTTTTTGTAAGTGTAACATCAGAGCACTAAAATATAGTAAAATTATATTTGCAGTATATACCTTGTAGAGCAAAGGCATGCAAAAAATCTCTCAATTTTTCAGTACTTGTAGGGCTCCTTGGATCTACCCGTTACAAAAACATATATTAATAATTTTGCTTGCTGTTAGCCTAAGTTAATATTAATCTTTGTAGTGAAACTCTTATTTCACGGAAACAAATTATTCTGAGTTTCAAAACATCAAAAAAAAGCATGAAAATGATTCAGAAAATAGCTACATAATTTGTTTTCTCTTTTTGAGAAATTATCTCTGGTTGTGCTTTAATACAGTTTTTCGTAAGAGTAAAAAGCACAGTTAGCAAGTGACATATTTACCTCTGAACCTACTTCTTATAAAAGCTCTTTATTCCAGAATGTGAAGCAGAGATGGTGAGTTCACTGCCTAAAGAATAGCAAATTAAAAGTGTCTTATTTGTCAAGGAAGTTGACTGTCTATTCCTGACTACAAACTGTGCATCCTTAAATATATTTCAAAATTATGACCATATTTATACAAATTTGTACCAATTAACTTATTTTGGTTTATTATAGAGAGTTTCGTCATTACCAGACATTTTTAGTACAGGTGAAAGTTATTTTCAGCCTCTAGAGGGTGGAAATTCAGTGTTTCATTCTAAACAAGAAAATTATACTACAGTAACAATGGATGTTATCAAGAGACACATGCAATATGAAAAGCATTGCTTTAGAAAGTACTGATTTAAAAAAATGAACTCTATTTTGATTTTATAAAAGCTCATAGTTTTATCAAAATTTTAACGATTCATTAATGTTTAAAGCCAATACTAAAATCACATTCCTCATATTAAGCTTTAAAACATCCTCCTGTTTTTCTATGAAGAACTTGCTCTGAGATCTTCAGATTTTCTCCAGGTTTTCAGAAGTGAGTGGTCCTTTGGGCAATTCTAGCAAAGTGCTCTGTGTGTCCAATATGTTCTCTGCTTCACCTTAAAAAAATAAAGACATTAAATACATTTTCTCACCCATACTGTAAGGAAGCAAAGGAAGTAAAAAAAACCTAAACAAACCCCAAACAGTAAAACGAAGAAACTTGATTAAGCTGTTCTTGTTTGGGCCGGACAACAAAACACCAGGTGACAGCTATGTATTTTACAAATGAGCTGATGGCAATGCAGCATTACAGTTGCCTTCAAGGAATTCTAGACTGGTGGGATTATTGTACAAAGCAGTGTTTGGCCAGAACTGAGTATCTGCTTCAGGCTGAATTTGTCTGCAAAAAAGTCAACCAAAACAATCAGTTGTGCTGTTGTTGCCATTTCTGTCAGTCCCTTTCTCCTAAAAACTACACTGAGTTATAGTAATTTTTCATTTAGATATTATACACGTGCATTGGCATGAAGGCATGAAATACAAGCAAGGACTTGGCATCACCATATACTTTGTGCCAACCTCATACTGTATCTGTCTAATCAGCAGTCTGAGGAGAGGGCACGTCAGACTTACACATAAAGCTGTACATAATAAGCTTTAACAAGTCTACACAGCATCCTAGATGTGCCATATTTAGGCACAGTTTTTCATCTTTTCTCAGGCTTAGGCTAAAAGATGTCAGGCTACAGGCAGAAAGGGGCTACGACTGGACTTGAAGCACTGGTCAAAGAGCACTCTTCACAAAAAGTTTTGCTGAGACAGTTACCTAAACTTGCAGTCTTAACTGCGTAGCAGGGAAAAGTTGTAGGGTGCACAAGGGTCTGGGTAAGGCTGGAATGAAAACATGTAGGACAGAGAATCCAAAAAACAAAGATACAGACTGAACATCGTACGTTAGTTGTGGTGGTCTGACAGTGATATAAGAAAGGATGAAGATTAGGCGAAGAATGTGTTTATTTTGGCTGATGCTATTTGGTATCATGCCAACCATTTGTTTACCTGTGCCTTAACTGCTAGCTTGATGATTGTTATGGCAGTGATTCGAAGCTGTATTTATGTTCAATAAACTCAACTGAATACTGTAATGCAGTCGAGATTGTGATCATTCTTTAAAACAGGTCTGAATCCTGAAACCTCCAACTGCAATTTTGGTAATATTGCAGTGCTTAGGATCTCCACACATCAGTGATATTCAAGAAAATAACACTGGTTACTACTCCCAGTAACTGGTAATAACACAGTGTCAGTCAGTTGCATATAGCATCTGATTATGGAATAGCAAGAGATCTCAGGTGACAGAGCAGTGTTACAGACAGTCAAATCTCTATGCCTGTCACTCACAGGCACCAGGGCAGATTGCTAAGTCACTGTCCTTCTCACATGGCTCAGGATACAAGCTGTCCAAATCTTGGAAAAAGGTCACCAGAGTTCCACTGCTTCATGGAAAAATCCTGTGCTGTTGGAGGCTAGCTATATAATCCTCTCCTCTAATAATTTTTCTGAAAACCACTAGCAGTATGTCCCTGGACTGGGAGGAAAAGCAGCACAGCAAGGCCAGGAACACAGATAGCAAGTCCATGCCTGATTCTTGGTGTCCTCAGCCATTCAGAAAAGATACTGCACCTCAGCACTGTTCTGTAACCCTGCTCTTCCCAGAAGATTCACTTCTGACACATGGCCCTGGCACACTTAGGGCTGGCTTTTCAACAGCACAAGCAGAAATCAAAACAGGTATTTGGTCCTATGTCCTTAGTTTTTGGTGTGATTAGCCCAAGCTATGAAGCTGAAAAAAATCCCAACCAAACAACCCTCTAACTTCAATAGAGGAGAATCGACAAGTAATGAGAAAATGTTTGGACAAGTCAGCTAAGCTAGAGACAGAAGAAAAAGTTAACTACAAGCAAGATCAAAAGACATCATTCCTGGTGAAAGAGAAATAGAGAAACCTTCCGTGGGTATAAGCTGATTCCAAAGAATGAAGAACAGCAGATGCAGGGCTATTTGATGAAGGTGGTCCAGATACAAGGAAGATTGTGCAGCACAGAAATAACTGTAGGTTAGCCTAGGAGAAGGAACTGGCCATGAGGCTGAAGATGGGCATATCCTGGAGAGAGACCAAGTAAAGAGGGAACACTAAAGGGAATGGTGTATGCATTCAGTATTGCACCACAGAGATGAAGTATCACAATGTAAGGGGAAAGAAGAGAAGTAGTTGAGAAAGTGTGTGGGAATGGCGACGAATCAGCTGCGTAATAAGAACAAGCATTGTGGCTGCAGGTCAATTGTGTCATAACCCCTTCTTTTCATCTGCTTAATTTTAAGCTTAAAATAAGAATGAACTCCTGAACCTGACTTTCATGTAATTATGAACCTTCTTCTGATTTCCAGCCCAGACTCATCCAGGCTAGTCCATTTCCTATCATTCTAGGACTGATACTAGCAATCAGTTTAATTTCCTTCTCTTACTTTCCTTTATCTTATCCTGTAAGTAGGATCTGCAGGCCCATATTTCTCATGTCTTTAATTGAAAAGGCTAAGCAAACTAATAGTTTTGTTTTGTCTTGCAAGGCAGCTTGGCATTCCCTGATAATTTTAACACTTTAGTAATTTGAGATTCCTTATACAGAAGTGACCCAAATGATGTATACATTTCCAAGGAAGGTATTGGTATGTTCCTACCTTCCTATCCGTACTCTCTATTTGTACTAAGGTGGTAGAATATCCATCCCTGGAGACATTAAAAAAAAAAATCTGGACATTTTCCTGGGCAATTGGCTCTAGGTGATCCTGCTTGAGCAGAGAGGTTGGACCATGTAACCTCCAGAGGTCCCTTCCAAATTCAACCATCCTGTAATACTAGGAAAACCCAATTGATGTTTCTGAACTTTGCTTGACTTTCATAATGTCTTCACACTACTGGATTATATCCATTCTGTGACCACGTAATACATTCAGGTTTTTCCCTTTTTCTATCATTTCCAGCTGATGAGCTCTGCTGGTAGAAATCCCTATTAGTCTCTAGCTTCTGGATGTTCTTCTTATGAAATAGCATCCTGTTTTATTATCTCAGTTCTTCAGGTCTCCAGTTCTTCTTGTACTACATTTTAATTCTTCTCTGTTGATAACACCAATCAAGTTTGTCATCCACAGATTTGATTAGTGTAACCTACTCATAATTTCAAATAAAAAAGTAGATCCAGAACAACTCTTGAGGAATATTGCTTATAACCCTGCTAAAACCTAGCCTTCCTCTTCAAGCAGAAACCTTTGACATCTTCTGTTTACTCCAGTGCTTACTTGTCTACTAATTTCCATGTTGTTCATGCTAACTTGATCTTCATGTGTTACCACACTAAATGCTTTCATAAGTTTATAGTAGATCTAACACATATTTTGGAAATTATTTTCCTGGGAAAGACAGTTAGTTTGGCATACTGAATTTTATTACTGTCCATTTGACTTCATAGCTTCTTTTCTCTACAACCTTTTCACAAGCCTTGCATACTGCTGAAGTTGCCCAAATGGATCTGAAGTTATAAAGATGACTTTTCCAATTTGGAAAACAATAGGATACGACAGTGCCCTCTTCAATCTGTGCACATACACATTACTACTCTTAACATGAGGCTTGCATTATGATATGCTCACTCCTTCAAAATTCTGAAATGCAAATGACCCTATTATCAACAAATTATTGATCACAGAATCACAGAATGTTAGGGTTGGAAGGGACCTCTGGAGAACATTAAGTCCAACTGCCCTGCCAGACCAGGACCACCACAAGATCAGAAAGGCATCCAGACAGGTTTTGAAAGTCTCCAGAGAAGGAGATTCCACAGCCTCTCTAGGGAGCTTGTTCCAGTGCTCTGTAACCCTTGCAATAAAGCTTTATCTCGTGTTGAGGTGGAACTTCCTGTGTTTTAGTTTGTCTCCATTGTATGTACTAATCTCATTTTCAATGCTCTTATTTCCAAGAGATACCCAGTTTTTATGCTTTGTGCTTAGGTGGCTCTTCATATTAAAATCCAAAGAAATGTATTTAGTGGGATTTAGGAAATATACACAGATATACATTGCTCCATCACCTAGATATGTTTGCACCTGTATGCAGCAGGAAATGTCTCACAGTTTATCTAATTAATATATTATTATTTTCAGTGAAGTACACAGAGTTAGGAAACCTAGCTTTTAGATCTGGAGGCTAATACCAAGAGCTGAAACAAATTTTACTTTTGTTTCAGTCTGTTCATGTCAGTAGCAGGCAGCAAAATCAGGCTAGTTAACTCAGATAATTTGTGAAGGGAACAAGCCATGGTCCAATGCTGTCTTCACTTACAGTGAACACTCTCTTAGCATGCTTCCTTCACTAGGAATCAGAGCTAACATAAATGCACCCCTGTAATCCTCAGCACCCATCACTTAGTCAGATCCATCACTGGCAACTATGAGGCAAGACTCCATTTTCTGGGACTAATCTTTCTTTTTCCATCTTAGCAGGGCACTGTGACACTGTGAAAAGACAATTAGCTAAAAACTGTTTGGTCATGAAGATGTAAGGACATGATTTCTGCCTGTACTCCATTATTTGTTTTTTATCATTCCTACCTCTTGCCAAAACAGCAGCACCAGGGAGGAACACAGAAGGAAATCACTACATTTGTGATTTCTCCCAGATATGCAATGCTTACTTCAGCTGTATTGGTAGCCTCAGAATTCGCATCTTTTTGGAAATGAGAGATGAGAAATCACCAGTCTGAACCGGAGTGACAGGATGTAAAAGCAGAATGAGTACTCTTGACTGGGAAAGTATCTGATTGTATCAAAGAAGAAATTTAAGAGGAATCTTCTGTCCAGAAAAAAAAAAAAAAAAAAGGGAAAAATCTATTTTAAGTGTTCTCCTTTTTCTAAAAGAAAAAATACGTTTTCTGAAATACTAAGCTTGGTTCTATATGTGAACAAGACAGACTTACATGCACATACCTTTTATCCTCTGTAACAGTGTCCCATAGCCCATATCATATTGATAAGCAAATACAAAGCTTAAGGGAACTATTGGCAGTAAAACTCCTGGGTTCTTATTTTTTATGGCTCTGTTTAAACAAAATAAAACTAAGCAAAGCAAACAAACAAAAAAAATAATAAATAATCAGGAAAAATAAGATTATTTAGGACACTTAGCTTACCACACTGTTAGGTTAGGTTGACCTTGACTGTCTAGGACTTGTGTATACTTCTACACTCTCTAGTCAGAGTCTTTCTCAGGAGCATTTGTCTTCTGGTTGCCTTCATGCTCAACTGTCAACCCAAGGGTATTAAAATAAATGCTTCAAGTGACTTTTGAATATGTCTAACAAAAAGTGGATTATCCAACTCGTGTAACATGCATGCATATGAGCATGTATCAGTCCAGCCACACGCAACATGTAGCAAGAAAGATACTACATGCAGCTTCAAATGCATCTGAGTCCACAGAGAATGCATCATGCATAACAAAGTGCATTTAATCTGTACTGTGTACACAAAAATCACAAATATTTCCTACAGTCTTTGTTATCATGTTATAGCACAAGAAAAACAAACATAAGTCTTATGATCCAAGTTCTTCCTCTTTATTAGTCAAGCTTTTTCCTTGTGGGTGAGTTTCTTGATTCAAATTTTAAGTGAACAGTTTTCAGACTATATTCACTTGTTCACTGACATATTAAAAAACTCAGATGCTGGAGAATTTGTTGCTCATTAATAGTTCCTTAAATCACAATACAGACAGGAAGGAAGCATGGTTTTTAAACAATCTCTCCTGTTCCAAGCACAATTTTTATTTTACACTGAGCTTTTGGTACCTCAGCTGTATTTTATGTCCAGATCACGTCTCTACTTTTGCATAAGTCTGCAGTACAGGTATAAACAAAACACATCTGGAAGCAGAGAGAAATCAGTCACTAGGTCATCTGATCAACCTTTGAGCTAGGTAAAAAAACCTACCCGCAAAAGGAAGATCCAGCATCACAGAAATATAAAAGTAATGTATTTATATTTTCTGGTAGGAAATAAACTTCATACCCAGCTGTTAAACCTACAGCAGCAAGTCCAAAAAATGTGTCAAAATATTTGAGAAATACCCGTGTCCAAGCAATCTGCATGGCTGTTTGTCTCTCTCTCATCTGGTTCTGCATCAGCCATTGACTTTCCAGCTAAGGAGGGGAGAGAAGTGAAACAAAATTAAGTAATCCATTTATTTTAAAGACTGAATCAATCTCTCACTGGTCTATAAATCCAAGATGTTAGCTGAGAAGGTTTCTGTTTTATTCCTTTACTTTAGTAATTCTTAGATTTTTTTTGAGAACAACCTTCTTCAGTAATAACTCAGAACAGTTTATATCAAGAAAGCATTTAGGTCAATTAGCAAATGCTTTAATGTAGAATCTTTCTAATGCTGCTTCTCAAGGTCAAGAAAATCAAAATACCAGTGCTAGGTTTTGAGAGCCTGTCAAGTCTCTGCAGCACTCCCTAGATTAATAAAAAAAGTAAACTTGTTTATAAAACTATTGTTAATAAAAAAGTAAACTATTGCTTTAATTATATGCCCCATCTAAGCATACTGCTACATTTCCAATAAACGTAATACGTAAAACGTAATAAACGTAAATGTAGCATTTTTTAAAAGTTCCTTTCTACCATAAAGAACACTGAAGAAAACAATGGTCTCTTTTCCTTACAGTGATGCAAAAAATAAATAGGAATTGTATCCAAAAAATTCAGTTTGAAACCAGAATACAGAAGTTAAGTCAACAGAATAAGAAATCTGCTTCTTCTAATTAATTTTTGTAACTCGTTTTTTTTGGGAAACCAGTGTACTTAGTATGTCTCTCCTAGCTAACCAAGTTGCATCAATAGTCCAACAAAGTACAGGAAATAAAATACCATTTGCCTAAAATAGTGATGGCAGAAAAGAAAGAACAAAAAGAGAATTCAGAAAGTTCTCTTCCCATGCATCTATAAAAGTAATTGAATATGTTCTTTTTTCCTGCTTTCTAATTCAAGAATAATTTAAAGGATTTGTAATTACTTAAGGTTTCCTCCCATTTATTCATCTCCATTACTATTGATTTAGCCTGAACAGAACAATTTCTTTTAAATTGTCACTAATTATTTCTTCAGACTATGTTGATCTTGCTATCTTATTTACAAGCTCATTCAGTACCTAGGTAGAATTAATTTTTTACACAGCATCATAAAAAAGGACAGATTTAATTAAATGTAATTGTACACAGTAGGAAAAAACAACATTCACCGTAGTCTCACAAAACTGTTTCATCTATTTCTCTTTCCTCAAGACTGACCTAGCAATTGCTGTTCCCACAAAAAAATATCAACAGGCTCTACCTTCCTTATATCTATAATTTCAAAATCACTTTTTTTTCAGAAGTAAGTATATAATGGCTGAAAACCCACTTAATAAAATATCAAAATAATTATATTATATTTTGTCACCTACGAGACACTTGGAAATTCTAAATAAACAAGCACACTGCCCTTTAATTAGCCTCATTGTGGTCCCCAATATTCTAAGCCTGGTAAACTGCTGAGGGTTGACGTGGCAAGGTAAAGTAATGACACGTAATATCAATTTAATGACTTCTATTTTCCCCCACAATCTGATTATATGTGTAGCTTGCACACATGTGAAAAGTATTCAGGGATTCTTTGTTTGCCTCTCAGCAGAGAAAAGAAGCCTGTGCTCCTGAGATGCACAGTATTACCCTAAATGAGCTTCAATTTTAAGAAGTACACGGGGAGGAAGTGGGATATACGAATGAAATACAGGTCTTGCTAAAAGGAAACAATGTAGAAGAAAAACAGACAGTTTAATATGCACAGAGTAGAAAGAAGTAAGCATTGAATAAAAAGAAACCTGTATGTTTAAATTTATATGAGTAAAGGAACCTAACAAGATTTCATAAATAAACCCAAATACAATGCCAACAAAACAAACAAACAAACAAACCCAAGCAAAACCCAACACCTTCACAGAAGTTATATTTCATAGCTCTTTAAAACCCAAGTACTGTACTGAAAATAAAAGATATTGCCAACTCAGACACTAAGGTCAATACCTTCCTGGCGTAGCCTGTCATATAGAATTTCAGAAGGCCAAGGATACTTCCATGTTTATCTACAAGTAATGTTTATAAATAACTTACTATAAATTAAAACAATTTTGTTGTATACTATAAACTTCACCCAGACAACATGATCAAACAATTTTCTAATGAGAAATTTTTCTTAATTTCTAACCGGAAGGATATTCTTTTTTTCTTCCCTTAAAAAAAACACAAAACAACTTTCTACATGGTGCCCCATCCAAAAATAAGGGGGAGGAGAAAAACACAGAAAAATGCTCCTAATTACTTTCCTTGGAGTAAACTTCTTCAACATGGAAGTAAAATCTTACCTAAATGAAACTCGATACTGTATTTATATTAATTGCTTAAAAAAAAAAGAAGATGTGTTGAAAGGAAGCTTTAGACTGTTGAATCTTAGAGCATTTTATGTGTACATGGGGAAATGCAGCATAGCTAAGAAGAAAAGATTTCAGAGGAATCCTGATGCACAGAGGGCAGTAAAAAGTAGATTAGTGATGTTTAGCTGAATTAAGAATCCTGGATTTCAGGCTGTCCTTAAGGGAAACAGAAGGGAGAACTGACCCACAGTTATGGCCAAAACTCTCCCAAGAACACACTCT